ATAATCAAGGTGGATGAAGGGCTCCTGAGCCTATCCTGTAAACTTTTCTAGTTTGCAATAGTATAACTATGCCCATCAAGGTCGCCTTTCCCACTTCTATAATCCCGCCTGCAACTCTGCTGAATTGATCTGCCAATCATGATTTAATGAGGAATTTTCTTTGTTTTGTATTAGGGTTTAAATTCTGACGACCAGGCTTTCCAAAGGCAGGAACAACAGACAAGCAACAAGTGGCAAATCAATGAATCAACAAGGAATCACATTCGGTAGAAAAATTGCTTCTCCCACCATTCTTCCCCTCCTCCAGCCACGCATGTCTCTGGCTGCTGTGAACTGGGGAAATGGCCCCAGCAATGGAGTCGGCTTCTCTAAGCACCACAGCCTGTGCCTGTACATATAGTCAAGACCTCAAATGTTTGCTCCAAAATCAACAAGGCAGACACCCGAGGCGTGTGCCAATACCTCCCAAACCCAGACACTGTAGGCTGTAGGCCTGCTGTGAACTGCTAAGGAAGACCCATGCAGTGGAGTTTGCTCAGCAGGTATACAGCTCAGCAAGAAACTGGGCCAATCACTCCAGCAAGTTAGGTCATTCTCTCATTTAGAATCAGAATTGTTTGCTCCTTTTCTGTCAAGACCAGGCAGGACATCACCAAGACTGTGCTTGATATGAATGACCCATCAAGTGATGGCAGGTGGAGCAGCTACGAAAGGAGACTGATTTTTGAAATGATCCAAAACATAAACTTTAAGCCTCTTGAGCCACAATAAAAACTAGTGCTTAAATTAAATTTGGTGATAAATACATAATTAGGGCAGCCATCATTTTAAGTTTTGCTTATAAAAGCTTTAACTAGCATCTCAAATTCAAGCACTGTAGCTAACCTAATTTGGACTGTGAGCATCACCATGAAGACATCTGTACTTCTTTATAAATTTTTATCATTGGTCCTGCTTAGATCAAAAGTGACTTCACTTGAGCACAGGCTGTGAAACATTGCCCTTGATATAAGAACCACTTCAAATTCCTACGATATATCAGCTTGCCTTTGGATTCCCAATAAAATCACCTTCCCTACAGTAAGCCTGTAAAATATTCACAGCCCACTAATTTAGGATTAAAATGTCTTCTCTTCAAAAAGGGTAATCTGGCATTCCTTTTCCACCTTGTTCAATACTAAAAATTATATACGTAAATTTAATAGTTTGCCTTGTAACAAGAATACTGACAAAAACAACGCAAAGAGGCTAAGTGAAAACAAATACTCCTTCTAACACCCATAGCTATCAAGTGAATGCCAATTCACAGCAGTCCTAGAAGGACAAGGCAGACCTGCCAGCGAGGGTATCTAAGGCTGTCAATCTGTATGGAAGCAGACTGCCACCTCTCTCTCCCCCAAGAATGGCCGGGGGCTTGAAACCCCAACTACCGTAATCCAGTAGCAGCCCAGCACTTTACCAGCAGGGCGCCTTAAATGAAGCCTCAGCTCAAATAAAAAAACATTTTTTGGCTATAATTTCTCACAGAAAACATCAATAACATAGTTTTAACTAAAATCCTAAAAAAAGTAAACTCACTGCCATCAAGCCAGTTCTGACTTATAACACCCCTCAAGGACTTACTAGAACTGTTCCTGGGGGATTTCAAGGCTGTCAATTTTTCCAGGAGCAGAAAGCCTCATCTTTCTCCTGCAGCATGGTTAGTGGACTTGAAATTCTGACCTCACGCTTAGCAGCCCAAATCATAAATCCACTGCATGACCAGGACTTACCTAATCCTTAGAAATGAAGCTTGAATAATCATTTGATGAAATCTGGTTATAACTCAGGAGTTTAAAGAATGGATGAAACTATCAAACACAATTCCTGCCATTTCCACTTATTTTTATAAACAAAATTGTTCAGCATTTGCATCTATTAAACACAAAACCATCAGTAAAATAAAATCCATTTAGAATTGATGCTAAACCCCAACTCATTCAGTCATAAGTAACATCCACTCAAAGAGACCTGAATTAATTATTTAAAAAGTCCCACCTCAGTACTAAAAGTGATATACAATAACCACTTACTTTGATATAGAAATGTACAGTACATATAGTTCAGCATTTTTGTACTAATAATGAATAGTCAATTTATTTTTAATCCTCTAGAACTTTAGTCACTTGCCACATGTGGCCATTAAGCACCTGAAATGTGGCTCCTCTGAACAAAAGTGTGCTGTAAGTATAAAATACACACTGATTTTAAAAACTGTATGGAAAAAAGAATGGAAAATATTTCATAAGTAACTATTCTTTTGATGACTTACTGAAGTATCAAACTTTGGATGTAAATGAATGGTACAAACAGTTAAGGGTTGGGTACTAGTTGGAAGGTTGGCAGTTTGAACCACCAACAGGCACCCCAGGAGGCAGGCGCAGTGATCTGCTTCCAAGATGTCACAGCTTGAAAACCCCATGGACTGGTTCTACTCTGTACGCACTGGCTCACCATCAGACAGGATCAACTCAACGGCAACAAAGCTTTGGGTTAAACGTCTTCTTAAAATTCACTTCACCTGGAAGGGAGATGTCTGACAGGGCAAGATATGACAAAATACCCATTTATAAACTATCAAGGGCTCATGAGGGAGGGGGGAACGGGGAGGGAGGGGAAAAATGAGGACCTAATGTCGGGGGTTTAAGTGGAGAGAATATGTTTTGAGAATGATGCACAAATGCGCTTTACACAATTGATGTGTGTATGGATTGCGATAACAGTTGTATGAGCCCCTAATAAAATGTTAAAAAATAAAAAAATAAAAATAAAATTCACTTCACCTGTTACTACCTTTTTACTGTAACTGCTCAAAAATTTTAAATGGTATGTGTACTTCACATTACCTTTCCATTGGATAGAACTGCCTTAGAACTTTGAGGTTGAATGATGACGTTACAAAAACTGACCTTTGGAAGACAAATGGGTGCATAAGCAAATGTGGCAAAGAAAGCTGATGGTGCCCAGCTATCAAAAGATATAGCGTCTAGGATCTTAAAGGCTTGAAAGTAAATAAGCAGCCATCTAGCTTAGAAGCCCACATGGAAGAAGCACACCAGCCTGTGTGATCATGAGGTGTCAAAGGGATCAGGTATCAGGCATCAAAAAAACAAAAAAATCATATCATTGTGAATGAGGGGGAGTGCAGATTGGGGACCCAATGCCCATCTGTAGGCAACTAACTGGACATCCCTTTACAGAAGGGTCATGGGGAGGAGTTGAGCCAGTCGGTGCAGTGTGGCAATGATGAAACATACAACTTTCCTCTAGTTCCTAAATACTTCCTCCCCACCACTATCATGATCCCAATTCTACCTTACAAATCCAGCTGGACCATAGGATATACACTAGTACAGATAGGAACTGGAAACACAGGGAATCCAGGATAGATGATCCTTTCAGGACCAGTGCTGAGAGTGGCGATACATGGAGCATGGAGGGAAGGTGGGGTGGAAGGGGGGAATTGATTACAAGGATCTACATATAATCTCCTCTCTGGGGATAGACAACAGAAAAGTGGGTGAAGGGAGATGTCAGATAGTGTAAGATATGACAAAATAATAATAATTTATAAATTATCAAGGGGTCATGAGGGAGGCGGAAGAGAGGAGGGAGAGGGGAAAATGAGGACCTGATACCAAGGGCTCAAGTAGAAAGCAAATGTTTTGAGAATGATGATGGCAACAAATGTACAAATGTGCTTGAGATAATGGATGGATGGATGGATTGTGATAAGAGTTGTACAAGCCCCAATAAAATGATTTTTTTTAAAAACTGGCCTTTGTATTCTAGGATTTAAAATGTTTTGCTACAGAAAAGTAGGACAAGATTAAACAAGATTCTCATGGGTAAAAGGAGTCCCTGGGTGGTGCACACTACTCATTGATGGGTGGGTGGTTCCAGTCTCCCCAGAGGTGCCTCAGATGAAAGGCCTGGTGATCTACTTCCAAAAGATTGCACCATGAGATAGTTTATTGTGCCAGCCTGGCTGATAAACACAAGTGGGATTAACTGAAGGGCAGAGAGATAAATGGCTTCGTGAGCCTCGTCTTTCTTGTCTCTCGCTCTTTGATCATCGGACTAATGTGCGGCTACCTTGCTTGTTCTGTGCCTCAATTTAAAGGCTACACTACCTGTGGGACGCCTAGCCTGTGGACTGTGTCGCTGTAAGTTGAGGTCCCTTTAAGACATCTCTGGAGCTGGGGACTGGCAGTTGGTGACCTGGCTGGCAGTTGGTGACCTGCCTTCTGATTGGCTGCTGTGCCAAGATAGCCTACCTCTCTCTATAAATAGAGGAAGATCTGGCAGCAGACTAGACTTGAAGGACTGCTAGTCTCTCACAACTCTCTCTCATGGGAGTGAGTTGAATTGAGCCATTTGTAGTGCTTTCTAATTTAACTGTTTCTTTCTTGTATTATATATTTATCTGTATATGATTTAACAGTTCATTTCTCGTTATATATCTAATTATCTTTATAAATAAATATATTAAATTATCAGCAATTTGGTTTTGTCTCCCTAGAGAACCCTGTCTAACACACACCATGAAGACACTATGAAGTGCAATACTCCAAAACCTCCTCAGCACATGCGATTATCCTGAGCAGAGATTGACTCACAGGCAAAACCGGGCGGGGGTGGGGGGTGGGGTGGTTGAGGGGTGTTGTGGTTGATGTTTACTTGGTGATACTTGGCATGCTTACCAGGACACCTATTATAAGGCAATTAGGTATTGACAAAATGTTGCCCTACTGTTTCCAATTATCTGTTGGGTTTAAGTAGCTGAAAGAGATCTCATTTACACTGATTCCCTCTGTCATAATTTCTACCCCATACTGTAGTTTTCAAGCTTTTAAGGCCCACAGACTCAAATCTTACATTTCTCCTATATACTTTAAACGCAATTGAAAACAAATGGATACTGGTGGGGAAACACTATCACCGCCCGTGTGAACCCTTACCTGGATAAGCACACTGCAGCAGAGCTACTGACTTGCCCCCAGGAGCAGCACACAGATCCAGCACCTTCTCCCCATCCTGGAGCTCCAGAGCCAGCACTGGGAGAAGGGAGGCAGCGTTTAGCAGGTAGTATTTCTTCAGGTTTCCCATTTGGTGTCTTTCAGAAGGCATTCGGTCTGGACTTCTGCTAAGGTAACACTTCAGTGATTCAGGAAAATAGGCTGAAGATCCTTGAAAGAGTGTGTGAGAGCCCTTCAAATGTAAATCCTTTTCTAGTTGAAAAGGATAATTGAATCGGTTCAACAGGACAGCATATTGCCAGCATGATGGAGATGTTAGTATATCCCTAGAAATGAAAAAGAAGGAGGGGTCGATATTATATCTTACAAAGAATGCCGTTTTATGCTCCTAATTAAATAAGTAAAAAAACCATGTTGGCTCCTTGGTTAAGCCTTCAAGTGATAAAGGAAAGGTCAGTGGTTCCAAACCATCGGGTGCTCGTGGGAGAAAGATGAGGCATGATGCTTTCCTACAGGTGCCGGCTTGGAAACTCTACAGGCCAGGTCCACCTGTCCCACAGGAATGCAAGGAGTCTGGACAAGCCCGAAGGCAAGGGGAATCGGCTGAATGTAGTCCTAGTTATACATTTTCATGTGTGAAATCTTCACACACATGATCAGTAATATTACCCCTTTTGCCTCAGGCTTCAATATAACTCTGCCTATGTGACACTGTTAGTAATTCTTTATTTAGATATTTGATATTTTTTCCATCATGGATATATTGTTTTCATTTTGTTTTGTTTAATTGCATTGAAATATTATTTATCTTGACTACTGCATTTTTAAGAATCTCTTAAATTTTACTTTGCGCAGGACCTGGGAAGAATGCTTCACTCACATCACCCTAGTCTCAACCCTGAGAATCTCTTACAAAAAGAAAAAACTGGTCTGCCTTTACAACATTCTAAAACATCCACAACAACCTCACTGCCATTACTACTCATAGTGACGAGATAGAACAAAGTAGTGTTAGGTAGCAAGAAGCAGGAAGGACCAAGAAGCATGTCGAAGGACCATGCTCCAAATTCAGGCCCTTGAGCTAGGGAGGCAGTACATCGGGGTAGACCCAAACCAGGCCAGGTGGGCTTAATTCAGCCAATAGGGTCAACCAGTACTTTGGACCCGCCCCCTGGCCTATGGCCCTAAAGGCCGGAACTTCAAGACCATTGCCCTCTTTTCAGTTGCTCCTCTGCCTTCAACTAGGCCATGCTGCAGTCTCCCTGGTTCAGGCCACCACGTGTGGGTGTGTAGTCACGCTGAGGTTGTCCGTGTTCAGTAACTGTAAAACCTGAAACTTCATCTGTCCTTCATGAAAACCCACTTGGTGAACAAACCAGGCTTCTGCGTGAATTCTTTCTCTTGCGAAGCCAAGAACCGAGGTCTTTCCCACCCGGGAAACCTAACAGTACACCCTTTTGGTCTTAAACAATAACAACAAAAGCCAAATTCATTGCCACAGAGGGAATTCTGACTCAATGTCCCTACAGGATAGAGTAGAATTGCCCCTTTGAGTTTCTGAGGTTGTGAATCATTACAGAAGCAGAAAGCTGAGCAGCTGGTGGATTTAAACTGCTGAGTCTACAGTCAGCAAGCCAACATCACCCATTATGCCACCAGGGCTCCTTCCTGAGAGTTTCTAAAGTGGAACCATTGAAGGAGTAGACTGCCTTGTCTTTCTCTTTTCAGCAGCTGCTGGCTTAGAGCTATGGATCTTGTAGTGGCCCAACTCGTAACCTACAACGCCACAGGGTGCTGTCAAATAGACCTGTCAAAGAAGCCTGGCAAACAGATTTCAGTCTTCTATCTTTGCACGAGGAAATGGTCTTCCAAGAGGCAGTACTTAAAAAGAGACTATTAATATTGTGCATGTATTTAGGAGGAAGTGAGGAGGCGGTGGGAGACTATCACTAAAGGTTGTTAAAAGGAGTGTGCACTAACATGTTCCTCTAATAGAGATAAAAAAAAAATATGGAAACCTAACTGCAGATAAGAACTCCACAGTGACGGTATATGAGCGGATCGGTGACTCAGATGCTGCAAAGCAAGGATGATTTAAAAATCACTAATGGATTGATGGTGCAGGTTTCCCCTCGGCAGATTTACTTTCCTGGTTTTGTATTCCGTCTAATGAGTTAGCTCTCTTGACAGTCACAAACTCACATCAACTGACAGATGATGCAGCAGGAAATATTGCATTTATTTATTAGCTGACCTTTCCAGCTGAGTTATTTGGTAGCCTCATTAACCATGGTCAATTAAATAAATTCCAGCTGCTACTCACCCAGGAAGTGTCTGTGTGAGAAATGGCTGGACTGAAATGTAACACCTGTGATTCACAATGTGTGGTGTGAAATACAATTGGAGGAGAATTGTATGTAAAACCGATTTCTCCTTTGAGTGACTCTATGTACAGAGGGTGTATCTGTTTCAGCCATTCTGAAGGATGGCTTTGTCTTCAAAAAAAGTGGCTCAGCAACTTTAACATACTTCTTTCTTTACAGTGATGAAGTAGATTTCAACCCACAGTGACCCCTGTGTTGCAGAGTAGAACCGCACTCCTCAGGATTTCCAAGGCTCTATCTTTTGGAAAAGAATCTCCAGGCCTTTCTTCCAATGTCTCTGGGTGGGTCTCAAACACCAACCTTTCAGATGCTAGTTGAGTCTGTAACCTTTCCACCACCCCAAGGGTCTATAGAAAAGACTGCTGAATTACTCCTTTAGAATTCTGACTTAGTGGCTCTAGGGTAGGGCCAGAGGATTTGCATTTTTGCCAAGTTTCCAGGTACTATTGCTGCTGATCCCCAGCACTACATTTGGGAACCACAGTTTTGTTTTGTTTTGTTTTTTTAAGGAAATAGACCCCAAACTGAAATCCATGCATGCCTTATTATAAATCTGTCAGTCCATCCTAAGCTTGCCTTTCAAGCTGGATGAAAACCTACCAGAGTTTTGAGTTCAATAGTAATAGGGTAATGGTGAGAACAGAACTGAGTGGAAGTAAACTAAAATGCCCTGCTTCGAGGATGTGTCCACCCTTTGCCAACTGGTTGGTGCCTAGCTGTCCATTTTTCTTTGTCAGGACTTCTCAAGGTGTTCTCAATGGATCTTTCTTTCAAAGAGATCTTAAAGTCAATTGGTCAGTTAAAAATACATGTCAAAATATATGTGCATTTGAGGGACTTCAAAATGTTTGGGAATGACTGGAATTAAGATATAATGGAACATTGGAAGCCCCCCACAAGTAGTTACAGATACAGCCATCTTGACGATGACTATATTCCATCCATTAAATCAGGGGAGAATCAAAATCTGTTTTGTATTAAGTCTTTCCAATAACAACCATAATAGTTTTCTCCATGTATGCACATATTTTCAGGTCTTTTAGTAAAGGTCCCTAGATTCTGTACATTTGACCTTCAGCTTACTGCTTATATATATAGTTTAGAAACACTATTCACTATTGGTATTTGTGTGTTAACACATATATTAAATGGCAAAAAAAAATAGTAGGAATTCCATCAGAACAAGTAAGAAGAGATGTAGAAGCAAGGGCAATATTCAGGAAATTAAGAGTAGTCTGGTCATAAGATCCTAACGGGCCAAGTATAAAATGATAAAGCTTTTGAATTTCTAAGTGATGGACAGTCATTGAAAGACTTTAGGAGAAAGAGTCCAATCAGAATTAGAAACAAAAACTTAAGACAGGAGGAAGCAATCTTAGATTACTAGGACTCTTTAGCAATTAGGCAAACCAAGACCTTCAACAGGAGAAATTAAGTTTCTGATAGTTCATAACATCAACTCAGCCCTACTGAACTTCCCACATATGAAGTTTCCGGGATATGTTTTCTTTAACTTTTACTAGTTGGAGCTTATACTGAGCCCTCAACGTAAAACTATCTTTCCTGTTTCCCCACGACAGGGCCCTGTTATACATACAATCAGAACTTTGACCCCTTATTTGCAATACCCAGTCCAGATGCAAACTATGATCTGCAGCTACCAGTGTAGGAAGCCATGCAATTTTGTAACAGTGGACCCCAAATGACCAGGGCTTGATTAAAAACCATACTCACCCTTAGTTTTTGTCCCAAGCCCCTTCGACTCCCTCATGGAAGCAGGAGTCAAGTATTAATCAACATATGGCACTGGGGTAAAACTATGGCACAAGTCTTTTTTAAAGTGTTAAAAGGCAAAGATGTCACTTTGAAACTAAGGTGCACCTGACCCAAACAATGGTATTTTCAATCACGTCATATGTACAGAAAGGTGGACAACAAAAAAGGCCAGACAATTGATGAATTTGCATTATGGGTTGCAAAATAATATTGAAACCGACATGAACTTCCAGAAGCCCATAGAAATAGAGCCAGAACTAATGGAAAGGTTTTGAGAATGATGAGGACAATGAATGTAGAAATGCGCTTTACACAATTGATACATGTATGGATTGTGATAAGAGTTGTATGACCCCCTAATAACATGATTTAAAAAAAAAGTAGAGCCAGAATTAGTGGTTGACACTTCATCTCACATACTTTGAACATGTTTTGGAGGGACCAGCCCCTGGAGAAGGACATCATGCTTGGTAGCGGGTCAGTGAGAAAGAGGAAAACCTTCGATTACATGAATTGACACAGGTTGAACAAACAATAGACTCAAATGTAACGATTGTAAGGGCCTTACAGGACCAGGCATGGTTCTGTTGTGTTGTTCTTATATAAGGTTGCGATGAGTCAGATCTGACTCTATGCCCCTCACCAGTCATATAAAGTGCCCAGATTCTGTGTAGCCTCCCTCCAGCTTTCCAATAACATCTAACCAGGGCGTATCTGAAGCTTTCCCTTTTGTCCACTATAAAGCATTCCCACTCTCCTGCCTACCCTTGATGTCTGTCAAATCCAAGCAAGGTGCTGATTCCCTTGGTATACCAAACTGAATAAATAGCCTATTTGTCTTTACTTGGGTATTTTTGTCTATTTCCACCCATTCACCTCATCTGGTCATTACAACAAACCTGAGAGGCAGGTAGTGCCTTATTTTAGGGATGAGGTTATTAAGGGTTTGAGAGATTTGACAATTTTCCCAAGTTCATGTCACTAACAAGTAGAAACACCTAGAATGAAAATGAGGCTGGCAAAAGGGCATAGGGAAAAAGTTACTGTACACAAACATTCCTGGGGTAAAGACCAGGTAGTATGTCAGGGGCCAGACCAAATCCAGGGATACATATGGTAGCCAACTAAAAAGGGCGGGGGGAAAGGAAAAAAATTAAAAAGAAATG